ACTAAGTTCTCTCAGCTTATGAGCATGGGAATGTGTTGCAGCTTGAGAGGAGAATTAACAATTAGATCTCGGGAGTTAAGAGGTTAAATGTGATGATCTATTTACAGCCTTCCGTAACTGGATGAACAGCATTGGTGTAAATCCCTATGTGAACAATCTTTACAGGGATCTTTGCAATGGATTAGTTTTGTTACAGGTTAGTTTTGAAGTTTGTATTTCTCTTAAATTTAATGAAACATTCTGTCATTGGCTGCCTTTCTGGTGCACTTGTGATCCTACTTGCTTTTTACACAAGCATTGCTTTTGAAAAGATAACATTACGCTTGATGACCTGCACGAGAGCAATTAGGATAATAGTGCTTTTTGATTATGGGTTGTCAAAGTAAAACCAAAGTTATACCAACAGCTATTCAGAGAAAGAAAAATAACCTTGAGAACCAATTCAAACTCAGAGTAAAAACAAACCAACTGCCTTAAGTGCAGGAAAATGCAGGTGACCAAGTTGTGATTGAGTCAGTATGGCATCTGATTGGTTGAGATGGTGGTGCAAGTTGTGTGGACCAATCACAGAGCAAAGTAAAAAATACCAAAGCAATCCAAGATTACTTTTGACAATTAACTGAAAACTGCCCTGTGTTATGCGTGGATCTGCAGTCAGTTTACATTTTGTCACTTTTTCCAGCTGTATGATATCGTGAAGCCAGGCAGTGTCGATTGGGACAAAGTCAACCGTCCTCCATTCAAACAGATGGGTGGTAAAATGAAGCAATTAGAAAACTGTAACTATGCTGTTGAAGTTGGAAAGACATTTAAGTTTTCACTGGTTGGGATTGGGGGTCAAGATATTCATGACTGCAACGAGACCCTAACTCTTGGTAAGACTAAATTTAAGTCAAGAAATAACCATTCTTTTTTGAAGCCATGCGTAGGCTGGCAGTGTTTCACTTAAAATAGGAAGCGAGCTGAAATAGATTTTATCTTGAGCTGTTGCAAAAATCTCCCAGATAAGTCCTCCTGATAAAAAGTTCGCATTTTAGCCCAGTTTTTGGACAGGGGGACTTTAAAAAAAACCAACTTGTTTAATTTTTCCTCCTTCATTGCCCAAACATTTTCTTTTCAAACATTACATTACTTTCCCCGTTGTGAATCAAGTCCTCTTTGCCAACCAATTTTTATTCAGTCTTTCTATTCAATGTTTTTATGTATTCATGGTATATCAAGGGCCATTGTTGTTGTTCCCCAAGAAAAAATGATCGTATATCCTGATCACGATGAGAGTATTCTCGAGAAGAACTTCTCTCGCTTCCCGCCATGATCACGACAACTTTAGCAGAAGAAACAGAAGGACAAACAACTGTTCACTTGTCTCTGATGATGACTTCCAATATAGTTGTCGTAACATCAGTTATTGCTACAGACATGAGTAAATTTCGGGACTTCTCCCACCCGGACCATCAAACAGCACGACCGAATGATACCCCAGGATTCAGACCATTTGCTTAATTAAGAAGAAAAGTGTTTTGCATTTAAATCGAAGAAAAAAATCACATTACTTTGTTACTTCACTTTACACGGGAAGTCCGATCAGGCCAAAAAACCATCCCCACCCACCCACCCACTCCCCCTCGTAGATGCCAAAGAAATCACAACTCACCCACCCATTCTAGGTCAATTTCCAAGTCCCATTACTCGTCTTGTTTTGCATTAATTGACGATAAGCCTTGTTTTGATAGCCGTTGTGTGGCAGCAGATGAGAGCGTACACCCTTGCCTTGCTCTCAAAGTTGACAGAAGACGGGAAAAAGATTGAGGATAAAGACATTGTTGAATGGGTGAATGAAAAAGTAAGTGAAAAAGACGGAACACTTCGACCGTGTGTTGTGCCTTAGAAGTGCGTCAATAATTTGAAGCTATTCCATACGAAAAGAAATTCCATCACAAATTAAAGATAATGATAATGCTAATTCGTGTCTTCGTACTATTCGCGCTCGGGTCTTCATGTTAGCGCTGCAGGACGCACCTTTTTCCGCCCTCGGAAGATTTGAGACAAGTCTGTAAGAGGTTTCCCGAGGGCCTGGTACTCAGTGCTAAATCTCTTACAAATCTCTTGCAAATCTCTTGCTGGCTCACGTTGCTCGAGGGCTCATACTTTCCCGCGGGCAAAGAAACGCTTATGCCTAAACACCAATGGTGAGGGCCTGGTGATGAGGGCCTGGTCGCAAGTCAGCTCGGGTCATAATTTGAAGGGAAAAAGGGATAGGCTGGCCGTACTTTATCCTACGGACCTCGAACTTGCTTAGAACTGAAGAGGTATTTACTTGTGATCTGTGAATTATGTTTAGTTAAAAGAAGCAAACAAAACAAGCAGCATCGCAAGCTTCCAGGATCCCAACATCAGCACCAGCCTGCCAGTTCTAGATCTTGTTGACGCCATCAAACCTGGAATGGTGGAATATGACATGGTATCTTCAGGAGGAACTGTCGAGGTGGGTAATTACTTGAAACATTCAAAACATGCTCCGTGAGAAATTGTTTAAGCTAAACACGAGTTAATGAGTAGTTGGGTCCTTGTGGGAGTAATGGTATTGTTATTCAGTGCCACCTTTTCTGGTGAATATTCTACAAGATGGTGAAATTTAAATGTTTTCCCTTTCTGTCATGTGTCTTAGGAGAAACAGGAGAATGCCAAATACGCTTTGAGCGTCGCCCGAAAGATTGGTGCCACGACCTACGCCCTTCCCGACGATCTGGTTGAAGTGAAACCCAAAATGGTGCTTACAGTTTTTGCTTGTCTCATGGCTACCTCGTTGGCGTTGAAATAGACTTAAACACAAACCCAAAGTCCTAATTATTCTTGTTTCCTAGCGCAATTGAAATTCAATAATTTCTTTTTTAATTTACAAAAAGATATGTGAGTGTAAGGTAAATACTGTTGCGTTGTAAAACATTGAGTTGAACACAAGGGATTACGGTGACCACACGCCCACTAAACTTTCGAGATAATAAAAAAAAATTGTAGGCATATAAATGCGCAAAATTATTTAATTTAGACACGGTTATTTAGTTTGCAAGAAACTTTTTTAATAGAAAGCAGTCTAAGTATTGATAATTTTGTCCGCTTGGGGAGATCTTTTTCCGCCCCTTGGGTTCATTCAATGGAATCAAGTTGTTCAAACAAGTGTTTAAGTTGTGTTCGAGAGTAAAGTTTTCTTTACTTTCGCACCAAGAATTTTGGGGGCTTGGTGAGATGAAATTCCTAGATTAGTGGTCGCTTTTTATATAATATTGGTGAGATGCGTAGAGGTGTATGATAAACTGAACAATATTGTTAACTTTACATAATTAAGACATTTTCTATCTAATAGGTAATTTGAAAATGTTTCATCCCCAAAATATTTTTTGCACGAGTCTTCTCTTTGAATTTCTAAACTTTGTAAATCAAATTTTGTATTGTATAGCGTGTGGTTCTCGTCCCTTGATAGCCTAATAAAATGATTTAAACAAAAAACTGCCATCTCTATTTCTATCATCATAGCGCAGAAGCATCACGTGCAGGAAGTTTGTCACTATGAACCCAGTTAAACAGCCCCAGGCTGCCACGAGTCTCCTTTTGTCTCAGAGGTAGAGCATCCTAACTACTCATCGAAAGGTCTTAGATTCGACCTCTATTGGCGGCACTCCGAGTTCTTTTTTGCAATGCATTCCTGTGTGATCATCTTTTAACTCAAACCATTGTTCAGTAGACAGAAAGCTTTTTTCTATTTTTACACGCAAAGTCTACCTCATCGTCCATCTTTTTTGGGGCGTGTTTATTTTTCGCAACAAGATTTGCTTATGAAGGTGAGACAAGAGAGACTGCACCCATCCGAGGTGCACTTCTGATTTGGCAACAGACAGTTTCTGATGCATTTTCGGCAATAATTCACTCGAATGTTTCACGGTACTGAGAATTAACTTCAGTAAATTCTAATACGAACCACTCTCAGTTAAATATTGAATTGACATGTAGAGGTTTCATAATGCACTTTGATTGGAAATCCTCGCTAGAATCAGTTTTCCCCATTTGGATGCAATTTCCAGTCAGCTCTGTGAATTAGCTATATTAAATGCGGCGTACAAATATGGTCAAAAGAATTGCATCATTTTATTAGCTTTTGGAATTGTATTAGCTCCCAAACACGCTTCTTCGACAACTATACCAATGATTTTCCAGCATAAACTTCTCGGCAGTACATTGGTATATTACTCACAGTTGTGTCTGGATTGTAGACTAATAACCAAACGTCACGAGCAAATCAGAATAGAGTAGGTGAGTAAGTGAAGTTTAGGTCCGTATCTAAACCTCAAAATAAAACAAAAATTCGTACCATGCGGTAAAATGGGATGCGGCAAATTGTCGAAAACATGAAAAAGCTGTACCACGCTTCATTATTAAGTCACGGTTTATTCACTTTAACGATTTAGCGATTTTAACTACAACGCTTCGGTTAAATCCGCTCACAACTCTCGGCTTATTCGAAAGAGGTACACACAAAACGTCCTGTGGTAAGCACGTGGAACAGTGCCATATATGGGGCGATAAAACACGTGCCGCATACATGTTTGTTTGGTTATGTATAGATAAACGAAATCACTTATAAATGTCAATCAAGTTAAGAACAATTAACGTATCGTGCAGTTTCCAACAAAGTCACAAAATGTCCTCTTTATTGATCGAAAAGCATCGTTGTTTAGAGAGCCTCTCGAAAAAGCGTCGTAAACCTAACCCAAATTGCCACAGCCAAGCAGGACTCCGTTTAACAATTCAAGAAAGCAATGAGAACTCAAAGTGATCACACTTGGGCAACCCAAAACGCGGGAAAACGCAGACAAATAGGTCGTGGTTAGTTCTGTTTGTATCTGATTGGTTAAGGGAGAGGGATTTCCTTGACCAATTACAGAGCGTAGTTTATTTAACTTTGGTCAGTTTCCCACGGTACCTTCAACACATGACCCAATTAAAAATTTCCCATCGAGAGGATGCGATTATATTTTTAACCGTACTTATAGGAAAACAGTCTAGTGTAAGCGCAGGCTTAAATATGCGCAGAGTGTAAAGCACGCTCAAGCTGAACACCTACATTAATACAATTGACTTTGACAGCGTAATGAAAAATAATTAAAGTTTTGGACTTTAACCGCAGACGAAATTTAAAAAGATCCTGTTAATTCCAATGAAGATGAATTATATATTTCCAGAAAAAGAAAAAGACAATTCCGTTTTTCTTTTTTCCACTCTAGTCCAGTTGAAGTATCAACTTCAAATTTATTAACACTGCTTTCCGAAGAGCTCGTAGCTTCCAGCAATACAAAAATGGGTTTACGGCCGCATTCGCCAGAATAACAGTTGTGGTGATGTAATAAGCTCCTTCAACGGTTTCCGAGAAACCAAGAATGAGATAAGCCACAAGAACGCACACGAATGGTGCAAAAAACAACCAGTAAAAACAAACAATGTACAGAACAGCCACAGTGATTTTCTTGTACTTGGCAATGTCAAAGCTGTGTACTTGTCGATTATTTGCCGGAGTCAGTTTTAGACTCTGTCTCTTTATATAATGATGGATTTGAAAGTAAGTCGCTGTGAGAGTCATGAGGCTTAGAAACATGAATGGAACATGGATGGCTGTAAATGTCTTGTTATTCAAAACAAGGAAGCGAAGAATTTCCAATATTACCAGCGACAACCAGAAAACAGTGACAGCCAGGAGAACACGTTTCACTGTGACAACTGAACGGTAGCGCGTTCCTAAGTGAAGCACGAGATAGCGTTCAACGCTCAGCAAAGCTAAAATGCTAACGGATACTCCGCTAAACAACCAACCCATGATTTCCTTCACGACGTCCAACTGACAAGCAGTTATTAATTTTCTTCGCAATTTAGCAGCGAACGACGCCATTGCTACCGGTTGAGCGAGAAATCCAGTGAGTGAATCTGCCATGGCTGCGCAACTCAGCAGCACAAAAGAGGGCTTGTGAAGCGAAGGTGTTTTTAATGTTGTCAGCGCCACAATGCCATTACCAAGCGCCGCGGGCAGAAATGAAACAGAATGGAGAACAAGGCAGGCAAGACTCAAGGAATCGAAATGCTCCGAGGACTCAGAAGTAGTGTCGAGGAAAAAACATGTCGTTAAAGTAACAGAGGTGTTATTCATCGTTGCTCTCGCAAGTGTACTGAGAAAATGATCAGTCTTGTTATTATTAAATTAAGTTGAAAATATATATTCAGGAAAACAAACAAGGCCAGTGGAAACTAATAGAGGCCTTTTCGTGATTGACACCACGGTTCGAGCAGGTGCAAGGCCGCTTGAACAATTTAGGAGATGCACTTTGGGTGTCCAACTGTCGAAATTAATGTGACAACCAATGGATAAAACCAAATCATGAAAAAAAAGGTTACCAAGAATCAAAAATTCAATTTACTCACCTCCGGCTTCCTAAAATCTATATCCCTTCCGTTGAATATTAATCTCGACAGATTACTTGAACTGACACTCGGCAGTGATTGTTGTTTGTCGATCAACATTGCGCCTTTCATGAAGCTGTTTTCGGCTTTTTCGGGGCTTCTAACTTCGTCCTGGGGTAAATTTATTAACGCGAAGTAACAGTTGCAGAATCATTTCTAATACGATCAAAGCCGGGACTGATTCCCTGAGAATTAACATCAGTATCATTTGACTTAGAGGCAGTGCATTCGAAAGATAATCCCGTTTATTTGTTAGAAGATCGAAAAAAGTATTAGGCCCACGTATGTTAAAGCAATCATCCGGAAAACCACCTGCTTCCATGTAGAGTTGTAAGCGGCGAAAGTATCGTAAAAAAAAAACTATTTTTTCCAAGCGCCAATTACAAACAGTAGAATAGTTTAATGTCTAATTCTTTTCTTTGTCCACAAAAGGCTTTTCTGTACATTATTCATTAGATAACCTCTGTCTGTGTTTAATTTTTGGAATAGAAAAGCTATATTTCATAATCCTAGGATTCGTTTGAAACCCCTCTCTGAATAATCCTACATTTGCGTTTACGAAGCATTCATTGTGTTGAACAACGAAATCTTATATTCATGAAAGCTATTTCATAGCTCTGATATACCCGTGATGTCAAGGGCCTTTTTGTTTGTGGGAAGTCATTTTGCAAACTCAATACTTTCCAATTCTATGACAGCTATGGTTCCGGAAAAAAAGAACACGAAAATTTCCTATGGGTTGATAAATGTCAAATCTTTTTCTGTTACGAACAAAAACTGCAAGAAAGGCCTTTCACGTGTTATATACTTAGTAACGAGGTAGAAGGGTACGATCCTAATCTATGGATTGGTCATTATAGAGCGCCTGAGGAAGTCCAAGGATTTTTGATTGTGTCACGACAAAACTTACCCTACCCCTATGAGACTCTGTAAAATTCTTGTGATCACCCTTCATTTGAAAATAATTGGCAGTCAATTTTCTGTAAACCCTACTCTATATTCAGTTGGCGACGACTGATGCCCCATTCATTCTCCCAGAAAACTATGTGACTTCTCCAAATTCCTGCTTCCCCCGCTCCCCTTTCAGGAGATTAATAATGACTGATCTGAGTTCGCCCCCCTACTTTCAGAAGATGAATGTAAAACTTCAATGACGTGAACTTAAACTTGAAATGAGATGACGATGAATGTGTTTAAGTTCACGTTAACTTCGCGATTTTTTATGTTTTTGTAACCCTATAAAGGCATGAAAATAGTGGCTAACTGGCTCGATAGCTCAAGTAAGAAATTTACTGTTACTTTTATTCTTAAGGATCGTAGTGAAGCATGATGCATCGCGTGCACGTATCAGAAAATCCACTGCGGCCACTGTCTACTTTAAAATTTTGCGCGGGAAATCTGATCAGGAGGCCAAAATTTAAAAGCCATTTGCGCATGCCTTACGTTTGACCGCTGTGTTGAGTAATGGTGGTAGTGTTAAGAGTATCACTCCCCTGAGGTTTGCTCTGACAGCTGACGAGTGTCATTTGCGTGCAATTTGCTCTCGTTGCCGCCGACTGGGAGTTTGGAACAGGTCAAGCATAATCATTTGCAGGGACTCTACAGCAAGGGGGTGCCTGCGAACCCGGAAGTGTTAGGCGTATAGCACATAACTGTGGATCAAAAAGACGATTTTTCACTCATGATTCACAGTTCTGGACTACTTATCTAGTGCTTACAAAGCACAAGAACATCATCAAGTATCTTCGTTAATATTCGGTATCAGTAAAACAGTCTTGATGACGCTCAGAAGTCGTCGGACTTTTTTCGGATTGGGAGTGGGGCTGATCAATATGCAAAAACATGGACGTCAGTTTTATGTAAAAACAGATATTTGACAGGCGTTTTTGAAATGATGCTACTTGACAATAGTTTGCGCTTTCTCTGTTCTCTTGATTGGCTGAGAGGAAAAAAACACAGAGTAGAGAGGGGGGTGGGGGACGGGGTGGAGTGGAAATAGAATTGGACTAATTCCTGCATAAGCTACCTGTACTTGTGGTTTTTTGTCGGTAACTTTCCAACAAACTGCAAACAAAGGCTACAAATAAATAAAAGCTCACTTAATTTTCTAACCGCTAAACCCAACAGTTAAATGTCGTTAAACAGACGCCATCATATCTTCCAATCAAAGAATACCTATGGCCAACTCGTACAGAAAATACCTAATCTAGAGATGAAACATGGTTGTGAACTTGTAATTATTGGTATTGCAGCAATGCAAAGTTACTCAGATCGGAGAGATCCAAAATTATAGTACCCATCAACTCCTTTCCAGTTTTCCATTCCTATGTCACGTTTCGGCTCACAGCTGTTCCATAAATATCTGCATTGTAAAGTAATGATCTTTGTTTACAGGGTTTTCTCCCGCTTGCATCTGATAAAAAACCTTTAAGCTTTCTGCCGGCCTCGGCTCGAAAATACCTCAGAACGCATTTTGATTGAAATTAAAGATATGTGGTAATGAATTCTACAAGTTTCCACTCATTAGAAAAGCACAGGATTATTTTCGTCCGCTTCTGATCGATCCAGCCGCCAATGTTTGCATAAGATAATTGAATTTAATCATGTGTTGTGTCAGATAATAAACAATCGATGCGATTCACAGTTTTAAGTTCATGCCTAAACTCGAAAATTTTTGTTCACTTGGAAGGTGATATTTAAAGCAACAATGCCTAATATGAACTGAAACAAAGTCTCCCTATCGTTTTATGCGCAGTTACTTCTCCAATTTGGTTTCGTGTTAGGGTGTGTTCGCGACGACTTATTATCTCAGTGTTTACATCTTATTAGTGGATGTCCCCATAAAAACTCGTTTACACGAGTTAAAACAGTCGTGGCAGTAAGCTCGTCAAATAGACTGGTACCCAGACCTCCGCAGCCCAGCCTGGGATTTATTTTCCGTTCAAGTAGAGGTAATCCAACACTCAAGAAAATCAAGCTTCTTATAAGCTATGCGACTGGCAAACTTCGATCGCGATCCCAGCTCTCCTTAACAAAGTTTTCCTTTTTGCGCTATATCTGTTCGTTGACTGTCGTCGTTGGTGTTTTTTTTTTTTATTATTATTAGATTAGGAAAAGGTAAGTAGATTATAATGGAATGACGGAATGGGACGGGGCAATGATTTTTTTTTTCAATAAATATAAAAGAACATTCTCGTGATAAATAATGGTGCTTATGGTGGCATGTCAGGGAGGGGCAGTGAACCCTTTTTTAGGCGTTCAGTTCGTAAAACGTTGGCAAATAATAAACAGCGCGATTGGGGTCAGGTCCGGGTAGCGAAAATTTCATTACGCAACTGGACCCAAAATCTCCCTCGATTTTTTCATTCCTCATCTACTGTCGCAGTATTTACTACAGCACCTCGTTTTAATAACTGAAGGCTCTGAGCAGGGCATAATGCCCCTTCCTGACATGAAAAAAAAAAAAACACAACAACAACAAAAAACCGCAAATAAAGCCACGGCTTAAAGACTGGTCCTTTCGCAAGAATGAAAGACTCCCACCGTACCCCTCGCCGCCCCCCCCTCCCTCGATCTATCATTCCATCATAAACTGCCTCCTCTTCCTTGGGATCGCCGAAAGTTTGCCGCAGAAAAATATCAGGCGACAAAGTAGAGCATCCTTTGGAGGCTGTATTTTATATTCGCAGGTTTTAATCATGCGATTTTGACGGCTTACGATTCAATGTAGGTGTCAAATACTTGGAAGATTTAAGTAATCAGTATTTAATTTTATTGATTTATAGGAGAACGGATAATAAAGGTAATAATGTTTCCAAATTGAGGTTAGATCTGTCTCTAAGAATTTTTCATTTTAAACTGAACCCTGTTCTCTGTTTTGTTTTGCAAAAATAATAGTCTCTGTTTGTTTTGAAAATATGCGGATATTTGTTCGCAGACATAATCTGCCCGTAAACGGATGTTGACTTACTGGGGCGTCTGACGAACAAACAAATTTTGTATCCTTCTATGTCAAAAGGAGAATTCTCGCCACTTGAACCAACCTAGGTGGCAGACTTTCGTCTCATTGCAAGCAAGATTTGAAAATTAGGAAATACCTGGCCTTTGGCAAGGGGCCAAGAGAGGTTGATCTCGCACCACGTGACGCAAAGCAGCCGATAAAATCGTGCAAGAAATTAATGGATAACTTTAAAGATATACCCCGGATCAGCAGGGTATGTTCTGTCACGTGACGCGTTTAAACTCATAGTGCGCGGAAAATATATTTGATGGATTTTAGACCTGAACAATCTTCTTGTTGCCTATATCTGACAACGGTACTTGACGCCCAAATATTGCCTTGATATGAGGTAAACTGAAAAGTTTGACAGCTTATTTTGCCTGATTGGTCGGTTAAAGATTAACTCAGCAGCCAAACCATGCGGAGGTTCCCTGATTAAATTCTGACGGTTTTCAAGCATAAAAAGCCGCTAGACAAAACTTGGTCAAAAGTTCTTTTTATCTGGTGATGAGGGAAAACGAAATGTGGGCCGTTTTTTCAGACATAACATTCTTTGTCTTTAATTCAGGTGCCCCATGATGACCAAAACTTCTCAGACATTATTCATACTTATTATTTGGGAGGTTTGCGGCAATTTAAAGAGTTTTTTAATATTCAAGCAACTCTTTTTAGTTTGTTGATCTTGAGTTTAAAACGAACGCAGTTGGAGGTGCTGAAAGTCGAAATATGAGATTTCAAGTTTTCAAATAACCTGTGAATTTCATAATAATTATGTTGAATGGGTACAAACAGCAAGCCACTTTTGACAGCAAAGTCGTAAATTATTGAAGATGCGGTTAATATGATGTGCATGTTTCATTCCTGACGGTTCGTTTTCTTAAGTTTATCGCCATCGATAAGGGTTTATATCGGATAGAAAAGAATTACCATAGCAAAAAATTATGCCATATGCGACCACCGTAATTCCTTTTCATTAGTTTCTCCGAATGAATGTGGAAATTTCGATAGCATTGTGCTTTACTCTACCATAATAAGTGCTTCAATTTGCTCTTTGTGAGTGAATGAATGCAGATGGAATAGTCAAATCACAATGAAAGCATGTACCATTCATTTGACCTATTTTCATTTTGGGAAAGAGTAAGGGCTCTCATCAAGGCAAATAAAGCTTAATTTAATTCAAATTCATTTGTCATAATGTTTATTCAGGTTTTTTTTTTTTTGGACTTCGCCGACATAGGATCAACCTGCTACAGAAGATACGAGTAAACAATATCAGTTTTGAAGACTAATAAGTTAGTTCCGGTGTGATATTTTTTGCCCATATTTACTCTTATTTGTGTGGTGGTGTCCAGTCTGCGACAAGCTAACCCGGTCACCCCCGCTGCACAGAACTTCGATCAAAACACAGACATTCGCGGGCAGTCGAAAAGAAGCATGAGTTTCTGCCTTGTTGGTAATTAATATGGCAGATCCTTCTTTAGTCGATTCAAATGAAGTCCAGTCCTCAGTTACGAATGGGGAAAGCTCGATTGAAGTGGAGAAAGAGTCCGCTGCGGAAGACGCGTCCGTAAGCATACCGCGAAAATCGAGCGTTCTTAAAAAAGATGGGAGACCCTCGAAGCGATCTCTCCAAAAGTCTGTGTCGTTTATTGCTCGTCCGGAGGATAAACGAATCATAAACGGTGAGATGCCAAATATATTTTGCAGGCATTTGTCAAGTTAGTTACGTGAAAGACGTAAATGATTAATTTGTCGATTTCTACTGTAGCCGAGGATTGTTTGACCTTCATGCAGAATGGTTCGGAGTTAATGAAAATTCGCTCGAATTCAAGACAATACCAGAGGTTCTTCTTTTTAGAGGAAGACTTAACGGGTTTACGATGGCGACCATCATCCAAGAAGCCTGAAAAAGCGAGGAGTGAGTATTCTTATTTGCTCCTAATTTATATATTAATGTCCTATGTGACAATTTGTATTTTTGTGCATTTCCATTCCATTTCAGTCTCTTAGCTGTCATGTGTTTTGTAACTCTTAATGAATCTGCATTTAAGTTTGCGGGTAGTCCAGAGGGCAAAATTATTCGCTCTAAAGAACAGTAGGCGATAGGGTATTTTTGAGGTATTTACAAAACATTTCCCGTCATCGATTATACAGCTAGACATAGAAATTTCTGTAACTTTCACATTGAAGTTGGAAATGCTGCTCGAATTTCCCTAAAAGGATTATCACAAGAACGATTCAGTATAGATATGAAATGAAAGGGTTCCGCGATTCGTATCCGGTCAATCCAAGCGGATGTGTTGAATATGAAACTTTTTTACTCTAACGACGCCACTTTAACATTTAAGCAATGAGTCTCGAGATGGTAAATGCTTCTGTTGCTAGATTCAATCACAAGGCAGTTAAACTTTTTCCGTCACCTTGATGGAGTCTGTGCAATACAATGACAGCTTGAATGTACTATCGCACCGGACGAAGTGCCATCATGAAAACAAATTCGGTGTAGCTTTTATTCCTGACGAGGAAGCTAGGTACTTTCAAAAGGAAGTATTTGAATCCTTTTCCACATAAGTATGAAGAGGGTAAACATATACCAGAATATGGTATTTCTGCTATTAGTTTTTCTATACTTAATATTTTTCCTCAGTGCCCGCGGGCACATGGAAATTTCCTGGCTCGATAAATATTATCGTTAAATCGAGAGCTTAGGCTCTCGAGAGTCGAAAGATTGTTCTTCCGGATCCAAAACGATTTACGAGAAACATGTAGCGAGTTAATAATTTTAGGAACAGTAGTTAATATTTAAACTGCATCCACGGTTTAAATCGAAGACATGATCGATTCGATGAGTCACAAGAGTTTGTATGCGAATATATCTCTTCTGTTGCCTTACATTTACGGGTGTTTTGTAAATAGAAATGTAGAATTAGCTGCTTATCGCATTTGTTTGCGGGGATGGACGAATCTACGGCGAACGAAAATCAAGGTTATTCCGAAAAAACCTCCACCAGAACCTTACATTTTTATAATTTCTATTTTATGTGCTTGTGTACATACTAAGTAACACATAAGCTCGTAAAAAAGTCAATTGTACAACAGTAACATGTAACTTATATGTGGTGTATTTTAAGGTCATTGGAAATTCAAGAAAGTCATGGACTATGAAGAAAATGAAACTTTAGAAGGTTTCATCGGCAATTCGTTTTCTTTCTCTAACTTTCTGACATCCATGCAAAACAAAACAAAAATTAGACAAAATATTGATTGGTTATCTTGAGGTGTTTTGTTGTGCCCATAAGATGACTATCTGTACAACCAATTTCAAAAACATTAATTTGAACATCAGGAAATTGACCCCCAGCTGTTACATCTGAAAGAGAGTCCTCAACTCTTTGCTTGTTAGAATTTTCCACTGAATGGCAGTGGCAAGGAGTTACAGTAACAAGACCAGTGTTAATTGCTGTGGTTAGTTTCACACGGCACATAATGTAATGCATTTCCAGACTACTACCATACATTTAGTTGATAACAATTGATATCATTATCAGCTGCAGAAGCGAAACTAAAGAAAACAATGAAAACATTTTAATGAGTAATTTCATTGCATTAATGAGTCCAATTTTAAGAGGTTCATGTTTCAATTAAAATTTGTGTTTTCCCTTTTTGTTTTGTGTCTTTTCTAATACATTGGGTTTTGTTTAACACAGAAAAATTGCAAATTATAGAATATTCCTCAAAATTTGAAACACACTCAAAGTCATTCAGTGGTGATTTATTGAAAAATAAGTGAAATGATAAATCATACCAAATTTCCAGAACTTAACCCTTGAAACTCTAAGATCAGTAGATATATTCTTCATACTGTTCTCAATACATTCCCTAAGGTGCTGATAAGGAGAATTTGTGTAACAATCAAGAGCTTCTATTATTGGTGATCATTTCCTTTTTTCTCATGACCTTTAAGTGTGATTTAGCAGTGATATTGTAAGGAGAAATTAGATCCTAGTCCCTCTAGGGGGTCAAAGGGTTAACTTATTTCTGAGGGGGTAGGGGCATGAATTTATTTTTTCATCATGGCCTAAAAAATGGTCTGTCTGATGATTGAGTCTGCGAATAAGGCAAAAATAAATATTTTGTTGGCACAAGATATGACAAGGCCTGGACCTTAGGGCTAAGCAACTTGGGTAATGATGCAGTGGTATATGAGGGGGAGTATTACTGTATAGCATGTGACATCCATCTAGACTTCAGAACTAACCTTGCACCTTTGGCTGACACCAAAGTTATTTTAGTTTGGAACCTTATTTGGTTTAAGTCTGAAGCCTTATAGGATGGGCTGCCAACTGCTCTGAGTTTGGGCTATGGTTCTTACTCAGATTTCCTGCTATATTGTTTGCCTAAAGGGGTTTTTTCTGGCCGCAGTATAACCGTAGTAGTGTCTTTGTAAGCGGTTGCCCATCTCTGTTAATTGTGACTTGGTGAAGTTAACATGTTTAGTGATGTATACTTATTTTTGACTGTGAAAGAAATTGATTTTATATCAGGATTGTATATGGTATATCAGTTGTGAATGTACGCATGTTTGTATGCCCTGGGTAATATATACCTCAGGCTGGTTCTCGACAGGCTTCCTTCAATTACCTTATTTGGTTTACACTACTGTGTTATTTGTTGTGTAGTGGAGACAAAATATAAATGTGGGGGTGGAATACTCTAGTGACCTCAACAGTTTTGTTATGGTTTGTGTGGTGTGATTAGTTGTTGTAAAAATTAAAACCAGTTCAAGCCTATGAGATAATCAGAGAAAGAAAATTAGTGGGTGTGTTTGGAAGAAGCCTGCAATTTTTTTTTGCATTAAATGGTAACCTAGTGGGTCCCTGTAAGCTTGCCAATAAACAACCAGTTGAATTTCAACAGTTTATATTAACAAAATTGTGAATAACTATGCCAAAAAAAGTGATAATTCTTAATTTTAGACTATCTTGATGCCGTAGAAAGTCACATGAGTTGTGGTAGATAGGCTGTGAGAAAACATTTTATGTAGATGAACTTTACTAATGGCAGCTTTTCTCTGCATTGGTACTTCTCTTGCACATCTCTGTGATTTAAGATTCTTACAACTGCAGCCGTAAACTATTCATGGCTGGTGTGAGGATGGACTAATGTCTTTTTTCCAAAGAATTTTGGAATTATACATGTAAAATGAACTTCAAACTACATTGTAAGAGGACGCTGTGACATATCAGTGACTAAATCAAAACAAGTATTTTTGATGTTGCTGATTCTAGCTTTATTCTGGATACTTGTCACATTTCAAGCTAAAATATGATCTACATAGCTCTCCAGTTAGTTTTGCCAATCCTTTACACCCTAACATCAGTATGCATATTTTCTTTACTAATCTTTTTAGGTTTTCTAAGGTGCTGACAAGGAGAACATGTGTAACAATCCATTGCTTCTTTATTTAGTGATCATTTCCTTTATTCTCCTGACCTTAATGCTTGATTCAGGGGTGACATTGTCAGGAGAAATTAGATCCTGGTCACTCTCGGGGTAAAAGGGTTAAGCACAGACCATGAAAAGAAAAGTTCTGTTTGAATTCTGTAAGGATGCTTTTTAACCCGTGCTTTCGTAAAAGTACTGCATTAAACTGCATTCTGTTAGTGTTGAAATTTATGAAACTATTAGTGTCTATAATTCTGTATTTGCTGATCAGGGTAACACATTCAAAACAATATTTTGTGTGGCACATCCTCTTACTCAAACCCCTGTCCCTCCAATATCAGTATGCATATTCTCCTTACTGTTCTTTCTGCATTTCCAGTGGTGTTGATCAGGGTAATTTGTTTAAAAATCAAGATCATCTTTTTTGTTCTTGTGACCCTAAATGTTTTACTCAGGGATGATATTGTAAGGAGAAATTAGATGCCAGTAAATCACAGGGCATACATGTAAGCCTTAAACCCATTTAGTAAAAGCTGTACTTAAAATATGGTTTTAATGAGCAAACCTGAGTAACAGAACTTTTTGTTGTACACATGTAATTTCTACAAAGATATTCCAGAACCATCTTCTTATTAATGCCTCTTTGTGATGGTTTGAAATTGAAGATATATATACAATACTGTCTTAAGTGATCCATGTATTTGCATTTGTTTAATGTTTGTCTTTTCGTGCCCAAAAGTGTTTATACAATAATGAGTTTGCCTCATCTTTTAAATTGTGGCGTTAACTGAGATCTCCATCAATGTGAAAGTTGTGTATTTGTCAATTAACAACACCTGCCAACTGCATGAAATAACCTGCAGAGTTTGGGTTCATCAATAAATTATTCATTGCATGCAAAAAACCTTCAGCCAATTTAGTGCTACTCTATATCATTGGGTGCAACATAATGTCATTCTTGACCCTATTAAGGAAACTGCAAAAATTGTGGGAAATGTCGAGTTCTACATGGATCAAAGAAAAACACTTGTCTTTTATTTAGATTTTGTTTCTCACAAAAATATTACATGGGAAAAATTTTAAAAGTTGTAACCCTGTTAGGAATGATGCCAAGAATATAAACACATGCACTGAAAAGCTATGCAGGTGAACTTATGGTATAATGGCATAAAGATCTTTGAATTCTGTATCAGGCAGCATTTCCATAATTTGAATATCATTGATCTTTGCTTTAAAGGATCAAAGATAACCATGGCAGGTGCTCTCATATTTTATGTCCTTTTTGTTGTCAGAAAAGTGCAATGTGAAGAAAAGTGTGCACATTTAGGAGCTTAAAATTTGCTTCACAGCTTGAATATTAGTAAATTCAAAATTTTTCAACAAGAAATGAATTTGAAACCCCTTAAAGTGTGGTGTGGGGTGTACCTCTGAAATATATCCTCCAGGGATAATCATTTGCCTGCACCCCCCTCTACTGTCAGCCAAAATTGATTGTAAGAAGTCCTCACTATTAATTTTTTTTCATGGAATCTGCATATATCTTTGAATTTACAACTTCCTAACTAAGGTTGTTTTCTTCAACAATAACCTTAAACTTGCCTTTTTTTTCCTGAAAAATATTCTAAAGTAATACCCTAAGAGTCATAAAATACATTTCTTCTTTTCATTTTAATTGTACAAAAAATGATCTAAATTGTTTGGCGACATCATTATCCACTCTATTTTGTGGCCAGTGACAAATTTTACTTGGTATTCAAATTTCTTAATGAAGCTGTTAATTTCAAAAATGAAACTTTTGAAGGTAAGGTTGTCTGTCTCTGTGCAAAATTTTTCTGAGCATGGTATTACCTTTTTCAGTCTCTGACTGAACCAGATACCTCATTTATCAATCTCATTTGATTCTCCATTCTTGAAGACAGTAAGGCTCATAGGCCGGTTTCAATCTGAGACCATCAACTACATTTGATGGATCAATTAAGCATTACCTGACACTCTTATTATTACCTTCAAGAATGTTGATGGGCTTTCTCTGACCCTTTGTTGACTCTGCTGCAAGAACAGCATCCACAAAAAAACTCGAAATTCATTCTCACATTTTACTATTCCCATCAAAAACTCTGCAACATTTTGGTCAACTTGCGTTTTCCTTCTCTGCACCATCATTGTCCACTACTCTTCCCAATTGTCTTAAAAGTGCTGTATTGGTTTCGTCTTTCAGAGCTGTTTTAGAATAATTTATATTTCAGAATATTTTTCTCCAAACCATGCAAATTGTTTTATATGTGTTTAGTTATTTGGTATTTTAATTATTTTGTATTGACAATTGATTTTATGTGAGACATGTAGATGCATTGAGACTTGAAATGCATATATATTATTATTATTATTATTATTGTTAAAGATTCAATGTCCTTGTTTTTTTGAAAAGAGAAATGTTATCATTTGTCTCCCAACGTGGTGACTTAAGATGTGGATTGTGACATTTTGACTGCATCCTGCTAGTCTTCTTCAGCTTAGCTATTGGGTGGCATCCTGGGGTTGTACTAAATGTGATTGTAGCATAGTCCTTGTTTCTCTCTTTTAGAATTTTGCAAATGAACATAGCAAGAATTTCTTTCATTGGTATTTAGTGAACATGTTGTAAGGCTCTTCATGTACAACTATGGCACTGCACTCTGAGCTACAGTTTTATGACCATTTTGGTCTCAAAGACGTGACAAAAAAATTGTTGGAGACTTAATTAACAGTAAAAGTCACCAATTTTGCAAACTGTGCTTGTGTTTTCATAGTGTTTTGGGTAGATAGTTAAAATTTGAGAAACCATTTGTATACATTATTACTACGGTATTAATGCAGAATTAAATACTGCCCTTTCAATTTCTTTTGTATGTTTGGTAAAAATTCTTTGTTTGATGATTACTGTGTGCAAAAAATGTGAAATCTGTTTCTTTTTTTTCCAGTCTCAATTGACACTGTAAAAGAAATTCGCTGTGGAAAAAACACTGATGTATTCCGTGAAATGGACAGGGATGATTTTCAAGAGGACTGTGCATTCTCAATTATTTACAGTGACAATTTTGAGACTCTAAATCTTGTTGCATACTCTCCAGATGAAGCCAACATTTGGGTTACTGGCCTAAGGTGTCTCCTGGACTCAGACAAAGGTAAAAGAATTTTCTCAAGGTGCTTTGTTAGGCCTAAAGCAGGAGGGGTGTGGACTCCTTATGTTCACCCCATTGGAGAGGGGGTACTTCTCATATCCTCCTGGGTAAAGAGAGGTTCTAGGGAAGGAGCATGACTTGCCCAAGAACGCAACGCTCTGATTGGGGGCTATGACCTCTGAAGCTAAGTGCACTTCCAGGCAACTTCATTGCACCCCATGGTCAGCACCTTTACCTGAACTCCATATTGAATGATCCAGGTTTTAGATCCCAGATTAAAACCCTTAGAGATCAAGAACGGTCTTTTACTGTTTTGTCTTTTTAAAGTCACTGGTGCCTCAAAAACAAGTAGCCACTGAATATGCCAATTATCAGTGCTCTATAGCTGGAGAAAATCAAGCTTAGCTGGTTTAAGTACATGCATGAGCTTTCAGCAATTATGTGACAAATAACATCAATATCACTGTTGAGATTTTTTTGTTATTTTTGTTATATTGAACAGCCAGCAGCCCTGTGGAAAACAGGCAACAAATGCGAGACAGATATCCTTTTCAAGAGCAGTTTTGACACTTTGTAATATCACAATAATAAATTATTTATTGGATCTTTTTTTTTATCCTCCTCATTCTGTTTAATCCTAGCAAGTTCAGTGTTGGGAAGCCAAGCTCTTTTTCAGTATGGTACAAAGATATTGACTAGAATAACAGGGGTATCATTTGAAGGCCTCAAGAGGCCCTTAATCCTTGGAAAGTCTGCATTCGATTGGGAAATGTTTCAGTTTTTGACTCATCTAGTTTCATTTATTGCATTTTGAGGTACATTTACATTTATGTTGCCTTTTTTGTTCCACAAAGTCAACCGTATTGAACTTTAAGGTGAAATAAAGTTATGTTAGAACGATGATGATTTTGTGTTAAGGCCACAAACCAGTGGCCAGCACATCACAAGTGGGTGGATCTACTTGCTACTCATTTGCTATTGTAACACCTGAAAATTTTACCTAATGGCTACATATTGTGATATAGGAAATGGTGAGATTCTGAGGATAAGAGGAAGAAGAATTAGGAGTTTTATTTTGACACTTCCTCTGTGAAATTTCCTTAATATTTAACTACATGGTTGAAGGAACAGTTTGTAATGGCAGACAATGGAGGCAAAGGAAGGCTTAATGAGAAAGAGGTTCTTTCTGTGGTCAGACAGTTGAATGAGCAAATTCCTGAAAGTGTAATAAAACAGAGATTTAAGGTTGGTGGTTAATCTGTTACCATAACTTCTATAATTATTTCACTGTGGTTCAAGTGCCAAGTATGTTACTACCGCTGTTAGTTAACCCTTTCACTCCCATGAGTGACCAAAGCAGAACTTCTCCTAACAGTATCAATGCAATATCTAGCAGACAAGTGATGAGAATTGAGAAAAGTATCAATTAGGGGATTTCTAGATGATTCAATACCAGACTCCTTGAGCTATCATCTTAAGAATTGTATTACAGACAATAAGGAGAATTACTAGAGAGATCTTGGGAATGAAAGGCTAAAGGCCATTATTGTTGTGACAAGTAATTAAATCTGTGTTGGAGAGTAGGGGTTTCAGTAACTTTTTCTGGGAGCGGCTGCTGATGTTGTGATTGGTAGCTCTGTTCTAAGGTGATACCCAAACACTGGAGCCTGCTTCCAGGCTAAACAGGAGGCAATAGAGGATCTTACAGGGGGTGGTAGACCACCAATAACTGGCTTTTATTGAATCTCCTGAAAAAGGGGTATTGGTCCTCCCATCCTACCCCTCTGAAATTCTTAAAACTTAACTGAAAGGTTTTGAAGCTTGGCCTCAGTACAACAGTCCATTTTACCGCTTCTTGTTTGGTTACCAAGCCTTTGAACAAGAGTAAGGCTAAGGGTGACCTTTTTGTGATACAAACGTTGCTGCTTTTCAAATGTAAATTACTTTGTTATCATGCCAACTAGGTACTGGTCAGTCTCTTTCACAACAAGGTCACCTTCAGCCTCACTCTAAATCAAAGACTTGAGAACTAAGTAGACAACTGTAAAATGGCCTATTCTCACAGTGTTTTGAGGATTCAGGACAATTGAATTTGATATTGAGTTTTACATACACCTGTTGACAATGACCTGACCTCACATCAGAGCATTACATAACTTTGCATATGATTATTTTATAGAAAATGCACCATACAAATGATAAATACTGTAAATGTCCATTATTCAAATATTTAACATTATGGTGGACTCTTTTTATATCTTTGATATGCACATCATTTGATTGGTGTTCTAACACTTTATTTATTTCTTACAGGAAGCAGTTGCTATTAGTTCAAATTCTCAAAAGAATAGTTTATCTAGGGAGGAGTTCCTTTCATTTTACAAAGAACTCACTACAAGACCAGAGGTTTATTTTCTTATGGCGAGGTTTGTTGTTCAACCGATAATCACACTGTTTTTAAATTTGACACCAAAATCATTTGTGAATTTAAAACACAAACTTCTGCCAATTAGGATAAACTTGGAGTTGTTCAACTTTGAGTAGAAGCATTTAACAGTAGTCAAAGCTAGCTGACTAGAACTGTCTATTGTGTGGAGATTCCAGCAGGGAATTGGCCCCTGAATGACTGCACCTTGAGGTGCTTTCATGTAGACTTGATGTACAACCCCATCTTTTTCAACACTAGGGCCTCTTGAAGTCTTCGGAAGTCCTTCTGATGTATATTTATGTACTTAACATTTTCAGGTCTTTGGCTATCTTTCTAAATGTGTTTCCTTCTTTTCTTTATGTCTTGTTAGCAAGGGTTACAAAAATTGATATCAACTTAATTAATTTTTCTTTTTTGTGCATTTAAATTATTTTTACCTTCACTGAATTATCACTTTTGTAAAGCCATTCTTTGGAACAACTATTGATAATGGTATTGGATAATTGATTATCAATTAATGTTATATGTTGTTTACATATTGCTGATTAGGCATTTTTTTTGGCAGGTATACAAGTAATGGTGACTATCTAACAACAGATGATCTACTACTCTTCCTGGAAGCTGAACAAGGGGTAATGAAATTTAAATTATGTTTAAACATGCACATGCGTGTAATGAACTCTGCTCAGTGTGATTTATGTTGTGGTAGTTTTATCAATCATAACCTTTACAATTTCCTCAAAAGTGATTGATGCAGTAGCTGTTCTATTTTTCACTAATCGTTCAATACTCAATCCAAAAGCGCTCCAATACAACAAATGGTCATTGTTTTTCCAACTCTGATTCCTTCAGCTCTCCAGAGTGGGAAAAGAACACTGTTTAGATATCATCAGAAGATGCGAGCCAACAGATGAAGGAAGAAGGTTAAAATGTTTAGGAATAGATGGTAAGTAGTAGAGAGTTCTGTGAATTTCTGTGATTCTACTCTAATTCGATTCCATAAAATTCATGAAAAGCGTTAACATTTTATGTTGATTGCAAACGATTAACGTCTTGTTTTCATAATTTTTCGTTTCTTATTTTAATTTATCTTTGCAGGATTCACACAATATTTACTAGAAGATTGTCATATTTTTGACACTGATCGTGCAGTAATCTGTCAAGAAATGAACCATCCACTCTCTCATTACTTTATTGCATCTTCTCATAACACGTAAGTTAAATTTTTTCAGTTGTTAACAATCTTAAGTGAATAACTGAAGAATATTTGGTTTCGCATAAAGTTGAAATGGGTGCATGGAACATTTTCAATCAAAAGTAAACCCGCAATCACAATATATCGTGATTGGTTTAGAAAAGTCATGCCACCCTTCCAACCAATCAGATGCAAAATTGAAACCAACCGCGTCCTGGTAAAAAGCGTTTCCCGCGCTTCAAGTTTTAGTTCTCGTCAACGCCATGTTGATATGGCCTACATGGATATCTGCATGACTCGTTGATTGGACCGACAGGCTGTCTGTTTGTCTCTTTGTTTGACTGTCTGAGTCATCGTTTAACGAAAGGTGACTAACACTGTGACTGTCTCCTTGACCGGCGGCTGACCTATTTTTCCTTCGATTCTCCCAGTATTTTAGAACTTTTTCTTCTCTCTCAATTTGGTTTGTAGGTACTTACAAGAAAATCAACTCAGTGGACCGTCAAGTGTAGAAGCTTATATCGATGCATTAAAAAAGGGCTGTAAATGTGTAGAATGTAAGTTTAAATTCTAAGTTTCGTTCATGCGAAAAAAAATCTCAAATTGTGAACAAAAATCGGTGGCTATGTTGTCACTGTGCTGGAGTCTGAAGTGAGAGGTCTGAGTTCAAGTCCTAGACGGATCTTGGGTGGGTGACACAATTAACTCTCACAGTGCCTCTCCCCAACCTGATGTGGCACCGGCGAATTGTCAAGAAATCCTGAGAAAATTCAGGGGGGGAAGGGGTGGAATACCTGCGATTTATCAGCATCCAATTCAGAGGATTGGCGGAGGGGGGGGGGGGTTGGGGAAGGGGGCTAAATAAGGGTTAAGCTCCGCCCTGATAGGCCTCGTGGCTTTTAAGTAGACTTCCATTAACCTGCTCCAATATTTTATAATTCGTTTTCATGTGATTTTGATTGATTACCTTTTAGTGGATTGTTGGGACGGGAGTGGTGATGATCCGGTCATTTATCATGGCCACACACTTACCTCAAAAATTCTCTTCCGCGATGTTTTAGAAGCCATAAACGAAAATGCATTCATAAGATCTCCGTAAGTAAATAAATTAATAAGTAAATGATAGTAATAAATTGCATTAGCAGCAGCCCATACACGAAGTAATTTTATGTCCTCGAATTTGAATTCAACGCTTTGTTTATTTTAAAGGTTAGAATCCTGAAGAACTTTGTTAAAGACCTCGAGTTTCCAGATTCCGGGAATGGAATCCAGGCTACGGCGGTTAAGAGGAGCGCTCCTCCCATCCTCCCTCCCCTCCCCTCCCCTCCCCCGCCCCCACTCCTGTTCCTCATCATTGCAAAGTACCTTCAAATTTTTTTGCAGGGATCGACTGCATCATTTGAATTACCCTCGCGAAGTATCACTTTCCTTTTTTTCTGATTTTGACTCGTGTTTGCATCCTGCTGGCGTCTTACTTCACATCATGTTATGATTCCCGTGTAAAGCGTATGTTACATGCTACTCAGTTCACGGTAGTATATAGAAAGATAACGGTTACAACCCGTCAGATAGATATGATATGAACTGGTCATCGAAATTTGTTCATGCTCACACAATCCAGAACAGTAAACCAAATAATGAACAGTACTTGAAATAAATACACAAGATACAATTCTTATGTTCTTAGATTCAAACCTTGGTATTTTGTTTTTCAGATTTCCACTTATATTATCCATAGAAAATCATTGTAGTGTGAAACAACAGCGAGTTATGGCAAAGTATTTCAAAGAGATTTTACAAGGTACGCTCCCAATTGTTTTGTTCCCGAGAATTCATTGGAAGGATTTAATAATTTTGTCGTAGTTCTTCCCTCTGTGTGGTTATTTTTTGGGTGGTTTCAGCTAGTTTCACTAAATGCACTATGATCAATGTGATATCTTAAAAATGATAAGATACTTTGTTGTTTTTGTAGATAAACTTGATAGAATTCAACCCGGTGAAAATGAATCATACTTACCTTCTCCCGAGGCACTCAAAGAGAAAATCCTTATTAAGGTAACTGTCTCAAGCCCAACACAGTACAAAGTTGGCTGGTTCTTTAACGCGAATCACACTTTTTGTCTCTCATCCTTTGGTCCTAAACTTGTACACCCTGTTTAAGATTCAGGCTTTTTCAGGGAGTACCAGAAAACACGAGCTTATATTTAATAGGTTGTGTTAGTTTCAATTTTTTTCTAACGTGGAGAATTCAGTAAAACTCTTCCTCAGTTTCCAGTGTTTTTGTCTGGAATTTAGAACAAGAAGCTTCCGGCAGATGTGACGACCGACTCTGGTGAGGTCAGCGATGAAGGTGAAGACCAAGATGAAAATATTGAAATGAATGGCGAATGTAAACTGGAAAGACAAAATAGCAAAACAGGAAGCATTAAAAGACAGATAATGAAAGTAAGTGTATGTTTTAAACATTTTCTTGGAAACTGTTCAGTTTTAGGGTTGAGACTCGCGTAAACCTAAACGCAACTTACCAGAACCTCAAATTACAACACAGATTGATATCATCAGGAGCCGATGAGAGCTCAAAGTTCATGTAATCACGAGTGCATGGCCATGTGCGCGGGAAAACATGAGTGACCAAGTCGCGTTTGGTCGTTAGTGTTGCATTTGATCGGTTGAAAAGGTGATGAGGTATTTCTAGACCCATCGATGAACAAAGAACAGTACTCTCGCTTTTACGCTAGTCCTGATTGATATGTTTAGTTCCGTGCAAGATTGTTAATAATTAGTCGCTGCTTTTACTACGAAGTCAGGCATTCGCCTGTTGTTAATGGGAAACCAGTTAAAAAGTGTGTTTATTTTTTTAGCGCTTCGGGAATCGTATAGTCATGATAATAATGATAAATTTTATTTGTCTTTTTACAGGATCCCAATAAAAAACCAAAGAAGACCACGAAGCTGATCCGGGAGTTATCTGACTTAGTCACGTACTGCAAATCTGTCGCTTTTCAAGACTTTCAGTATTCTTCTGAAAATCGTAAGCAGATTAATGCGAAAGGCAAATTGTATATCCGAAATGAGCGAGTTTATTTGCTGATATCTGTAAAAAGATTACTCACTCACTAGCTGACCTTTTGTTTTTCCATAGAAAAATTCTGGGAGATGTGCTCTTTTAGTGAAAATGTAGCCAGACGCTTGGCGCAGACGTTTCCAGAAGAGTTTGTAAATTATAACAAGTCGTTTTTGAGCAGAATTTACCCTGCTGGCAAGAGACTGGACTCCAGTAATTTCAATCCTCAAGAGATGTGGGACTGTGGCTGCCAAATTGGTAAAAATATTTACATTGTGGAACGTGAATTTGTAGTTAACCTCTAGATATAAAGTTCAAATGGGTGTAGCGGTAGTTGAAGGGAAGAAACCATGGGGTTTTAACATTTTTGACAAAAACAGGAAATCTAGTTTCTACCAAACTTGGAAAAAGTTTAGAGGAGAGAAATATTATTGGAAAAGTGGAAAGAACTTAGGCTTTTCTTGTTATCTAAAAAACGCAGGACTAAGGGTGAAACATTTGCGAGGGAGTCCCTTCCTCCTAACTTTTAGAGAGGTGACTACGTTGGAACTCGAAAAATGCCTTTGCATATGTTCTTGTTTGGGTTTTTCGGAGTTGGATGTACACAACGTGCAATAGCACTTTTATAATTTTGTACCTGATGGCAGAAGTAATTTCAACTGAGTTTCGAAAATAATCAAGGATTACATGGGTTTTACTCCACTTTACCCTGTGATTGATCAGGAAAATTCGTGCCTTCCTTAACCAATCAGAAGTAAAACTAAAACTAACTGCGTCCTGGTCGCTTCCTTTTCTCGCGCGTCAGGCAGTTGGCATTTTTTTCAGTTTGATTTTTCATTGGCTACTTTTTTCCGTTGTCTTGATTGGCTGTTGTGATTTCTTTCTTTACGACAGTTTATAACACTCAATCTGAAAGTGCTCCGATAGAAGTAGTCAGTCAAAGTGAGTGACAGGAAATGTTTACTTTGATTTGTCTTTTTGTCATAGTGGCGTTGAATTACCAGACGCCAGGGCTTATGATGGACCTGAACCAAGGAAAATTTCTGGAGAACGGCGGCTGTGGATATGTCCTGAAACCTGCTGTTATGAGAGAAGGTATAAACATATTAATGAATTTCATCACCTCTCAATGCTATCCATTACAGCGTTTGTGTATTATACATTTTCCCAAGCGGTTTTATACCATGCTAACTGAAATTTCCTTATTTATTTTGTTGCAGAAATAGCTTATTTCAATCCAAGTACTAAAGATGTTATTCCTGGCGTTTCGCCTCAGATATTACAAATCAAGGTTCAAAAAAGCATTTTGTTAATTACAATTTCATCATACCATCGCTTTTTTGAAAAAATGTCAATTCCAGATTTTGTAACATGAATTTGAGCTCTTTTTTCCTCTGTGCAGGTAATTAGCGGACAGCAGTTTCCCAAACCAAAAGGCTCAACAGCCAAGGGTGACGTAAGTAAATGTCCTGGATACTGTATCCATGGTTCCTTTATAAGTACTAAGGCGAGTTTTAACTCTTCCCAGGTGATCGACCCGTTTGTCACAATCGAAGTGTTTGGTATCCCTGCTGACATTGCACAGGACAGAACGAGAACTGTTCCTCACAATGGTAGGTGATTTACCCATTTGAGTGGTGTCTTTGACTATCAACACTGAAAGACAAAAAAGTTGACACTATTTACTTGTCACCAGATTTTCAAGTCAGTTTGCGGAAACTTGTAGCTGCTAGATATGCCTTGAATTATCTCACGCTTCTCATTAATGATTTCATTATTTATTTACTCATGCATCATTCGTTTCCATGCATGCTCTAATTAACTAACTCCGTAATCAACTATAAACAAACTCAAACACACCTAACTCGCAATCCGTCACTTGGTTGCGACCAAAAACAATTTTTTTTGCCTCAATCAACCTCTTATTGACTATGTACTAGGTGTATGAGTTGTCCGCAGATGCAACAATTTTAAAGTCTTTGTCACTTGACATTTACGCGCTTTCAGTGCATCTCCAGTTAAAAAAAAAAAAAAAAGACAGAAAAAAGTTTTAATTTCTGACTTAACTATTGTAAGCAGATATCTGTACAGTCCCTTTCAACTGTTGCCTTCTCGAAGTCCCATCCTCACCAGCTTGGCAGTGAGTAAACATGGGACCTGAACGGAGCTTTCACGCAAAATTACAGTATGGCGGATTAAAATGGCAACCTATCAACAAATTTTAAGTCGTCTTTAACCGAACCCAAAGGACATTAACATCTCATGTACTATAGTGCACACCAACTGATTTTTGCACCAGGTTATGGATAACGAGAATGAGAGAAGAATTTTTTTTTCCATTTATGCATAAACTGCATCATAACCTAGTGGCATGAAAAACAAATGAGTATTTATGTATTGAATTTTTTTGCAAGGTTTTAATCCTGTGTTCGATGAAACTTTCGAGTTCCACATCAACCTACCTGATCTGGCGTTGGTGCGGTTTGTGGTTCAAGATGATGATTTTATCGGTGATGGATTTATCGGCCAGTACACCATACCTCTCAATTGTATCCAACCAGGTAACCTCAATTTCAAAGACGCTTCATTTTTTTACTCAAATTCGCTCCTAACTGCTTTGTGTCTCTACTGTAACAACCGTGAATCGTTCGCAAGGACTTGGAAGGGTTCTCTGTGAGTGTTGGAGCTAAGATAACGATGCTTATATTGGTCTCAACATGTAGCTCTTTTTATGTACCAATGCAGTCGAACGTTTTTGTGAAGAAGAATTTCTCTTGTTTCACGAAGAAGCTTTGATTCTCACCTTGTGCCTTACAAAGAAGAACTTAAATGTATCATAGATATTTATGTGCTGATTTACGTAACGATGTTGACTAGATTTGATTAATTTTGGGTTTCCACCATGAGTCATCTCGTTACACTGAAAAATAGTTGAAGAGTAGAAAAGCAATGCTAAAGCTGATGAGGATTTACTTCCTTATTTTCAGGCTTCCGACACGTGCGCCTTTTGTCATCGCAAGGGGAAGAACTGGAATCAGCTACCCTATTTGTTCACGTGACCATCACAAACCTCAACGACGCTGTGGCAGTAAGTGTTGCAAGTTTTGTTGAGTGAAGGTCTAAATATATAACAATGTACATTGGTCACCGTACAGAATTTCTAAAGCAGCTTTACAGACACTGCGCTGGCCAATTTTCATTATCAACTCAGTTGATAGAACCAAATTGTTTTTGTATACAAATTAGTACCATTTGATGAGGATGAAGAACATCTCGCTCAAGTCAACGGTTCTCTTTTTTGGCCTTAGACTGTGTCGGCATTTATTCGTTCGCTATCTTTAAGTTTATGGGTCCATTTATTTATGTCGTTATTCATTTATTTATTGTTTATTTGGTCATTTGTTTCAGCAGAGACCAAGGAAAGCGTCTTTAAGAAAATCTAAAAAGGCGAGAGAGGTATGCCCTAAGATACATGTGCTCTATCATATTTCCTATTTCATCGTAAACAGTCTTAATCGATGGAATGTGTATCGTATCTCTGTTATCAACTGGGTTGAAGCTCTGTTCAGCAGGTTTTTTTTCTATTTTTTCTTTTTAGTATACAAGCATGAAGTCCATTGGTGTGAAAGCCGTGGATGATACGTTTAAGGTGAGGTAACAAGGTTTTCTTCTGTGCATAGACTTGTTTTGGTGATCTTCTAGTATCGGAGGGTCTTCAATCATTGTTGTAAATGAAGATAGCAAGTTGAATAAATAAAAAAGTGAAATTCCTATGCTGTGTACATGATCCGAAAGGGAAATCTGAGTGTGGAAAACGTTTCTGCGACACCAAATAACTCACCGCAAAAGGTTTCCGAAATTTAGGTTTTAATAGCAAAAAACTTTTTTAAGAGAAATACAAGATATTCTAAATCCGAAAACGTCCCCGAGACGTTTTAAACAAAAGTTAAATTAATTTGCCTTAGGCGAGGTTGCCAATTTAACTTGTCACGAACTTGTCACGCACTTGTCACGCAATATGAACGAAAATATTCCCGAACATGATCTGATTTCCCTAACAAGTTCGGACTTCGCGATCAGATGACCTTGACCTATATTAAGTTCATCTGTCACAAGCAGTCTGTATATGGCCATGATCATTTTATCATTTTTAATTACAACTGAGCGCCATTTTTATGATCCTTGACTATTTGACAGCTGAAGACGACTGCTTATTATTTAGTGATTTTTATGGATCGTACTAGTTTTACAGTGTTCTCCCTTATTTTAAGCATGACAGGTAAAATAAATTTTCAAACCGGTAAAGCAATCCTTTTACTTGTTGAATTTTCAAGAATTCCAAGCAATTTTAGACGGTAATAAGAGGTACTACAGGCAATAAATGTTACTGGTTACTGCCTGAAAAGGAGAACACTTGCTTTATGGAAGTAACAACCCATTGGCAAGCCCAAGATTTAGTTCTTGGTTAATCTATCTATTAAAATTTTGAAAAACAACGCAAAAGTGTCCAGAGAGTATTCAACATTGTCTACGAAAAGACAAATCATATCTCGTTTACCATGCTCATGTTTTTTTGTTACTGTTTTATTTAAGTTAGCAATTCAGCCCCTCAGAGACGGCACAGATCTTAGAGAAAATGTTCAGACGGCACTCGGAAACTTCAGGGTAATGTACTATGTTATCTATGTTATCTCGTTTCCTGTTGAAAAGGCAAAAAAGACTTTCTGGTTTACAAAACTATTGAGTTTTTTTGAAACTTGCTCAACTTTGTGTGTCTTCAGAGTAAGTCAGGAAGAATTTCCTGTGAGTATTTCGTCGCTACTGATATTACTGTAACAACGATCTTTGAAAAAAATGTTGTTCTTAAAGAAAATCTTTTTTTAACTGTCATCCACAACGAATATTTAAACGTGCAACTTATTTGGCTAATGTAACCCTTTTCCTATACAGGAGATCTGTGGCGTGGCCCCCCGGTCTAATCTGAAACAGTGCATAAGGCTATTGGCTTCCAGACTTGAGGGGAATGCAGAATCTATTGAGCTCAAACTGGTCATGAAGGATGAGGTATTGGGAATGAATTTTTGTTTCCATGTTTTCCCTAGTAACATTTAGACCCACCTCGTATCAGAGTCTTTGTGATGTGGAGTAGAATTAAAGATCGCTGTTTGAATTTTGACTCACTCAACGTGCTCGTCAAAGTACGGCATAACTCGTAAAAATATTCAGCGATAATACACACTAAAACGTCTAATAAGATATATGTAAGATACATCCAGTTACTCCTTTCAGTATTGCTACCGAGCTAAACATTTAGGTCACGCGAATATACGACATGATAGCTATGTGAAACTTGTTTGTTTGTTTGTTTTGCTTTTTGTAGTATCCTTACTTCGAAGCTCAAGGGAGTTTGCCAGAGATGTTGAAGAAAGCGCTGGCAGCTATAGAACAGGTAATATAATCGGGGAAAATTTTTTCCTCAACGGCTTCCTTACTTTTCAGCTGAGTGCGTGGGAGAATTACACTACATAATCATCCCTTCCATAATTTTATGCGTCTAAACACTTAACTTAACGTTTGCAATTATTATTCACTCAAGTTATTGTTAGTTTGGTATTGATAACTCGATCATTTTCCATTTTGCAGGTCGTCCAAGACTCCAAAACGTTAATCGAATCTTGTGACTCCGTTCACGAAAGAGTAAGTCATGTTGCTGAGGAATTTTTTAACCAACATTTACGATAAATGAATTCACCAAGCATCTTTTACGGAAAAGGTGTCTGAAAAAACTGTACTTGCTTATCGTAGTTCAGAAAGAGGTTTTCAACTGGGTGTCGAGTCAAAACAGAATTTCTTCGGCTCTGCTTTGCTACTTTTCGTTGATTGTCTATGAACTTGAGTCGATCAGATTCAAAGCTGAACTAATCCCTTTTGGCTCCAAATGACGTCAAATTCAGTTTGGTTTCACGACGCTCAATCGAGAAGCACCGCCCCATCAGTTTAAAATTGCCGAGTATTTGTAAATATTTATCGCTCCAAATGGTGTTCTCTTTGTCGTAGATTATCCAGTGCGAGAGAGCGGGCTTGGAGTGGCACGTACGTAAATCAAATTTAGTGTTAAAATAATTATTTTATGTACTCTAAGATACAGGTGAAATATCGGGTAGTAGAGTAAATGCACTCTTCCGTTTAGAGTAGCTTTGAACTATTGCATCGCACAAATCATGAAAATATCAATTATCTATTTCAGGAAGAGCTTCATAATGCCTGTGTTAAAGAGGGAATAAAAGGGAAGCGACTGACAAAGGTACTCTGGTCTTCTCCTTACAACAATAAATCCGTCAGCTAAGAAAATTGCTGCTGTGTTTTGGGTGTCTTCGTCGATTAGTCCAACGCTATTACGCCGATCTACGAGGATAAAAACTTATTTATTGACGTTTAATCGGACAAAAACTCTTCTGTAACCCAAGCAGTACATGTTCTGAAGAGTAACAAGAGTAATAATAATAATGATGATGACGATGATTATAAACACTTCGTTGCTCTCGACAAATTTCTAGCAAAAAAGACATCCTTTTGTAAAATTTTGACTTTGAAGGCGGGTTAGCTATTACGGTCACATGACGTGTTCACTTTGGGACTGTTCACATCCGGGTGTTTTCTCTTACAGGCGGTAGAAAGCTATTCATGGAATATTCGGGTCTTAAAGGGCCAGGCAGATTTACTTCTCAACGCAAAGAGCGAGTGTCAGGAATATCTTCGACAGGTAACTATGTCTGTGTAATCACAAACCTTATTTTCATCCTGAACGGTGCAGTAGGGTTCGATGAATAGTTATGGTTTGTATTAAATGACACAAATGTTCAGAGAACTTCAACTTCGTACTATGTTATACGGGTCCTCACTTTTTAAACTAGTAATTTCTTCTTTCCTTCACTGAAAATCCAAGAATTTCAAAGCATGTTTTTAAAAGATATCGTAAAACAGGTCAAGATAAGCGTCGTCGACATCAAGGCAACCATTTTATAATAACTTGTTCCTCACGTCTGTGCTTTACTGTCAGAGCAGGGGTGCGGGGGAAGGGTAGGGGTGGGGGTGGTGGTGGTTTCGGGAGGTTTTGGTTGAAGTTGCAAGCGTCATATTAACATAGGCACGCAACGTCTACAAAGAATAATGGCAAAATAAAAGTACGTAAGGGCTAACGAAAAGCTGGACTTTGTACCCTTTGTATCACTTGAATAGCTGTGTAGGGAGTAACATTTGTTGTCAAGAAAACCACTCAAAATTAACATTGTAGCTTAATTCAAGAGCAGGGAATGTTCTTCATGTCAAACCGTTCGAATTAAAATGAAGTTTACCATAATATTGTTTTTTTCTTCCTTTTTTCAGATTCAAGAGGCGACGTTATCAACTGGTCTTGTCAAATCCGTTGGCTGTGACCTCTAACCGGATACTTCATTTATTTGTCACATTTCGTCTCACCAGATACGCTCTTGTTGTACAAGCGTTGTAAATTCGAAAGCAGATAGTGTAGTAATGAATACAAAGGAGTGGTTCTTCGTTTCAGATGTGAACTTATTTTTTACCCTTACTATATTTTTTCACGTACTACTCCTCGTAATGGTTTTCTCTAAAATATGGTTATTGTTTTTTTTTAAGTGCCATGTTTATTCTTCGTAGTTTCAGTATAAATACTATCAGAAATACGTTTTACTTTTATCCTTACGTTAGTCATTATGCGCGCAATCACAATCTTTTCTCTTCTTTCTTAATTTTTTTCGTGTTTTCCATGGATTCACACGAACACAGATGATTTTCGAGCTTAAAACGAAGTTCACACGTCTCAGTAGATTAAAATTGAAATACAACAGTGTTTTAATACGAAGATTGAGGAAGCGATTTTAAGTAGAAAATTGTAAATATTAATTCAAGAGGAATATTTAAATAATGCAATACAGAAAAAAACAAGTTTTTTGAAGACACGTGGACGTTTAGATGGTTGGATTAATGATTTAGTTCTTGAATTAGTTTTCGTTCTAACTGTCCGGCATTAAGTCACATAGTACTAGATTTAATTTTCGTCATTGCAAATCTCGCGTCATAGTTTACCATGTGACTTGGTTAAGCTGGTGACACTGCGCGTATGTGTTTTGACAAATAGTATTCATGACATGTTTTAGCCTATCGTATTACGTGACATTTTATAAATATCGGCACCACGCAGATCTAAGACTCTTGGTGTTTTCAGATTGATTATTCCTTATGTTGAATTTTGGTACGTAGGTAACAATGTTTATGCGATCCGGCCTCAGCGGATTTATCCTGGAAAAAGTATATTTTTAGCTTAACGTTTTTCGAGTGCGAGAAATAGTAGAGTGAAACGGCAAGTGCGTTACGATCCCAGATTTAAAAAAAACAACAACAACGGAGCAAAAATAATGTAAAATTTATGTTGTTGAGATGATCATTATTATTAGTATCACTATTGTCACTCATCTAGATTGCTTATTACGTTCTTCAACGCTACAGGGAGCGGGGCGTGAACCTGGAAACGAGAGTGCGCAGCCGGCGCTTGGTAACGACACGAGTAACACGCACGCGAGGGCTCAGACTTTTACGCGCGCGCGCGTGACAATTGAATCGAGAGAGCAAATTTTGAAGTTCAAAGGTCTTCTAATGGGCAAGACTGTTGATGGTTGTTTTTTGCCAATCATTTTTTAATTAACTGAATTAGTGATCGTAAGTGAAGGCCTGTGAGTGAAACATCGCATCTGAACAAAGAAGTCTTCCTAAGCAGATTCGTTCACGGTCGTGTCTCAAAGTATGTCCCAGCTATGGTTTATGCTTGTTTATTTATTTGACATTGTACATATCAGAGATGAGTGACGCATATCTGTAAGTAGTTAAAATCGTGATAGAGCTAACTCGAGGTTGTCAGATCGACTGGGAAAAAAGTATTCATTTAAAAAATATTAATTTATGAAATAGTCATTTATAGGAGAAGACTCTTGTTTGCTACGCAATGAATGTGTGTTAGAGAATCTGGAACAGAAGTCGTGTTAAGAGAATAAACTACGAGAACTTCATTTCAAATGCAATCACAGAATTATCATGATTAAAGAAGAACTTTTTAGATTTAAGTTAATAGGTGACGGAAATTGTACCTACCGGCAGTGAAGCACACTTCGAATTCATGGATATTGTCTATTAATCATAAAAATTACAATTTCCTCGATTGTGATTGGTTTAAAAACTCTTATTTCCTTCTGACTCACTTTCCAAGTTGTTATCAGAGTTTGTTATTGGACAGTTCAATAAGCCAATCACTTTCATAGTATTAATTTAACTCAACCAATCACAACCTTGGTTTTAATATGATTACTTGGTAATAAGACTTCGTATCGTCCAATAACCTTTACTCCTCAAAAGATGGTACATAGATTCAACACAACCAAGAATTTGGAATATTAACCTCATGCACGATTCTGTAGAAAAATATAAAATTTTTAAATATTTTAAATTCATTTTTAAATTTCAATCAAAATGATTATGCTTCAACTCGTGAGAGTAACTTGCATCTAATCTCTCCTTACAATATTACCCCCAGTCACACATAAGGTAACGAGAGTAAAAAAATATCACAACTTAAAGAGCTCTTGACTGCGTAACAAATTCTCCACGATTCTTTATTGAGCTTAATTATCATGCCTAAACGGGCCCTAAGAGTGACTTGCATCTAATTTCTCCTTACCATATCAGCCCCAAATCACACATAATGGTAACGAGAATTTAAAAAATGATCACCGCTTTAAAAAGCTCTTGACTGCGTAACAAGTTCTCCTCGTCAGCACCTCAGGAAATATACGGACAGTATGGAGAATATGCATGCTGATATTAGGTGTAAAGGGTCACCATATTTACTCCAGAAAATTCCTGTATGACTCATAATTACTTCCAAACTTTGTTGACGTCAGTTAATAAATTGAAAATTGAGAACTATCTCAATGAGAGTACATGTTTTAATTTCAAAATCTCTTTAAATTCAATATGTTTCTAAAAGACGTAATTGTATAATTAAATGTTCATCATCTTTACAAAAATCTTTAAGTAAATAAATAATTTTTAAAATATCTTAGCATCGCACCAAAAAAATAAAGGATACTGTCGAGACTGGAAAAAACATGTAAAAAGCGTGAGCCATACTGAAGGATGGTGACACTGTGCGTGTAAGGAAGATTTAAATACCTAGAATCGTTTGATCATTGGAATTATTATGTTCACGCAAAAAGATAAAATGTAAGGTGCCACAAGCGAGTAAGAGAAGTCGGACCAGTGTCCTAAAGAACGCATGCGCCAGTCGGTTAGCCCAGTGGGTTTGATGTTGTTGGATCCATATCCCACATGCCTCGCTTGTGGTGAAAATGATGATAGAGGCCTGGGTACTTGAAGCGTTCTACCTCTAACTTTGCTCTAACAACACGATCCAGAAAATCCCAGTCCTCGCCGCCCCACTTATATTTAAACTTCTCGACGTCCATTCCTGGGGAACAAAGAGAATGGAAGAATGTGGAGCGGTTACATAGGGACAAGCACATGGCATATGGTAAGGGCATTAAAATTGCTTTCGAAAGCTGTATTAGAAACGACCAAACATTACGCTTTCTATTTATTTTGCCGTTGAGATTCGACTTACCACCAACTCGATTCCAGTCAGACTTGTACATAGCGAGCAGTCCGAAGCCGTCTTCTGCCCAGAAACCTTGATGATCCGTTAAACTTTTCCCACAATCTAATCGGCCAACAATGGGATAAAACACAATGCGTCCCTCTATGGTATTCTAAGAGATCAACAAGAAGAGCATGATAAACACGAAGTTAAGGTTCTTTATAAAACAAGGTGCCTGGAGGTGTTAACGTGGAATACGTTAGTCGTTACCTACAGTCCCTCTGGTTTTATGTGGAAATGATAAATTTAATGCTGACTCTTAAAAATACAGAAGGAAAATCGAAAAATAAAGACAATAATATAAAACATTCAACTACGCGGGATATTAAGTGTGTTCATCCATTCAAGAAGTAACCCCAGCCGAGAAGCACAAGCCCGTGGCTAACAAGCACGTGACTAATCACCATATCTGACTACGACGACACTCACGTGTCGAAAGTGTCCAAAGAGAAAGGAAGTGGATGCGTAAAATGGAAGAAAGACCTCAAAAGAATGCTTGACATAGTAGACCTGACTCCGGAGAAAGCGACACATGACATTTAAGAATAGGAACAACGTGAAACGATATAAGAAATTGAGAGATAGTGAAGTGATATAGGAGAAGGGAGATTGTGGAAATTTCTACAAAATCTTGTCATGCATTTCTGATACTGGAGTATTCTGATGCAGGGCTCTGGAACTTTCTAGAATATTCTATTGGGTGATGCAAAAATGATGAGGGTTAGGGTACATCTGAGAAGAACTGTTTTGGGCAGTTGGGACTGACAACCCAACCGGCAGAGTGACTCTAATGATGACATCCGCTAAGGTTGTCAAAACGGCAGTCACCACTGACGACAACAACCTTTCTCAGGACTACACCAACCCGGACGATCAGACAACACGATCAAATGGTACCCCCTAAAACCAAACTAAAACCAATCACGACTTGGTCGCCCGCACTTTAGGCAGTTTGGTTTTCTTTTTTACTTTGAGCTCTCATTGGCCTAGAAAAAATATTTTCCCTCCTACGGATTGGCCATTGTGATTACTTCGCTTCTGATTTTAACGAAACTTAATCGAAAACCACTCTAAAGTCTTGGTCCCCGGAGGAAATCTGTTGTTTTCTTTTATCAACGCAAAACATGCATAATGAAGAACAGGGTTACATGGAAATCTTCGTGAGGATACTGTTGGTCTTATATCTTAGAAATTACAGTTATTTACCTTTCTCACGCTGTCGATGATGTCCACAGGCACGTCAATATGGAGATCAAAGAGAAACACTACGTCATGTTCACTTGGTACACGCGCGACGCCCTCGTTCAGCGCAAGTGTCTTATAAAATTTACCCGTCATTTTAACAAGGGTGTGTCTATCACGGAGGAGGGTGGTGTTAAAAGCTTTCTCCATGTCAATATCTCGACTTTCGAAGTCAATAACCATGACGTGAAAGTTCAAATCGTTCGTTAATGAGCTAGCTATTGTTAATTCATTGATAAAATGATAGACCCAGTTGCCTTGATTCTTGACTGGGAGTATAAAGTACACTGTGGCGCTATTTTTCCAAATTATACCTTCTTGGAAACACAACTGGCCGCTTCCTGTTTTAACGAAGACGTGTTCTGACAAACGAAATGACCTCTTGCTGCGTTCCAAACTAACTTCTACATCGAGAGAGAAGCGATCACCATATACTGGATCTGGCTTATGAATAACTCTGTGGATCCTCTCCAGAACATAATTCCTTAAAAGGAAATGAAAACACAGTGTAAATAAATAAATATAAATCAACAAGTCAATCAATTAATCCATCAATGAATTAATCAAGCGATTAATAACCAATTAATCAGTTTAGCCCTTCGACTGTGCATTGATCCTTTGATCCCTAGAGTGATTAGTATCTAATCTCTCAATACAATGTCAGCTCTGGATCAAACATTAAGGTTATGAGAATAAAGGAAATGATCACAAACCATAGAAGCCGTTGTTTGCTAAAACAAATTCTCCCTACCAGCATCTTCGAACATGTATGGAGAGAGCAGTATGAAGAATAAACATACCGATGTTAAGGTGTAAAAGATTTGAATAGTGTTCTGCAATGGGCATTTTTCAGTGTTAATAAACTCAAGTAAGACGGACCATTGAAAAGTAAACCCAATAGAGGTTTCAGTGAGGAAAAATATGGTCTTCCAAAATTGTGTTTCTTCATGTTTTTTTTTTCCTGTTTTCGCAAATATTTACGCCTGTAAACTGATATTCTTTGTTTCCCTGCTTGGACAAAATGCCTTTCATACATTAAAGAAAATTAATTTTGTGAAACTCTGAACTCAACAATTCCTTCATCCGAATAAAACATAATACCCAGAAGTACCTTTTGACATGTCACTGCGATTTCCTAAGTGAAATTCTTACGAGATGCAACGCACGGGTGAAGATTAAATTGTTTCAAAAGTGTTATATTGGCTTAGCAAAGACCTAACTGCAAACTTGGGAATCCTGGGAGAGATAAGTAATGAAACTTCATTTAATTGCTTTTCATTTAACAAAGGGCTAACGCTCGAAACGTTAGCTTTAGAAAAATCTAATATCGATCAAGTAACTGGTAAAAATCTCTAAAAATAAGAATACAAAGCAAACTATTTGCGCAGCAACTAAATGTCTGCAAGTCTCCGGTATTCATAATATCGGTAAGCACCTCATTAACAATTTTCGCCCTCGGTAAGGATAGTCTTGTGCTCTGCCTTGCAACACAGTTATGAATATCAGAAAGTCTAACAAAATACGATGAGAAGTAGGCTGGAGCTATAAGGGAGTTTCGTGCTAGGATTACGAAATCTTCTACATACCAGATACCAGTGTCAATTGTTTTCCGGAAAGCAAAAATTTGTAACTCGTTCCCCGTAGATTTAAGACGGGAAAAACCAAGTAAGCTTTCTGCTAGCCAGTGTCAATTGATTTCCGGAAAGCAAAAATTTGGAACTCCTTCCCGGTAGATTTAAGACGGAAAAGACTTTCACAAAAAGAAACCATGTGAAGTTCTTTTCAATTAACTTTTAGAGATATTTTAATAACTTTCCCTTTTAAAATATCCACCGTGATGTTTGATTAAGTGATATTTAATTAGGGTACTTATATTCTTGAGAACAATTATATAAACACAATAACCCTTTACTGACAAGAAAAGTCGAGTTTATCGACCCTTTTAACACCTAGATCAAATTTGTCTTTCTCCTTACTGTCAACCATACAATTCTTATAGTGTTAGGTCAGAGAATTTAGTATTGGATCAACTAATTATCCCCAAATTGATATTTTTCTCTATTCTCATTACTTATCTGGTTGAGATTGTATTGATATTGTGAGGAGAACTTCTGTCTCGGTCACTTATGAGAGTTAAAGAGTCAACTACAGGGCGTGAAATTAACTTTTTTTTTCTGATAGCCACTTGGCTCCTAAATTCTTCAAAGTGGTAGCCAATTCAAAAAAAGTTGGTCGCCATTTTCAAAGACAAACAAAATCTTTCTTTACGCTGTCAGCGTTCTAGATAGACCCTCCAAAATTAAGTTAGGATTTGTCAGGATTTGGTCGCCAAAGTGAAAAATTTAGGCGCATTGGCGCCTGTATTAGGCGCAATTTCACGCCCTGAACTAATAAAAGGATCGACAACCCTCGAATAAAAATCGTTAAGTGCGTTGGCGCTAAGGCTCAAGACGAAAGAAAGGAATGAGAGCCTTATGGTTTTTGCACTTTCTGCGTTAAGTACTTGAAGATCAAATTAAAAAGGCTTAATCAAAGGCAGCCCTAGAATTAATCACACTCTTAAAATCTGTTCACATCCTCAGTTCTATTCAATGACTATCTCGCTAATTAGTATGTCTCAGTTTGACATAGTTTACTTAAGAGATTACCGTGACGCTTCACTAATCTGGAATGCTGCATACTAAGATCTAATCTTTCGACAACCTAAACTTGGTTTTGCAATGATCCATTTACGGTGTTGCCGTCAGTCATACTTCAAACGATACAAAAGAATTAAAATCGCAAAGGACGACGGTAAAAGAACCTGCCATGTTGTTGTTGGCGAAGATTAAATAGGAAAGCCTTTTGCCGTGTCTTCCCGCGTTTTTAAAACATTTCACTTATCCTTATTTATTTTGTTTCTATTTTTTTCCCACCCCTCCCCCGCGGGGCTCAAATTAGAACCATTTTTTTGAGACAATGAGTAGGCACAAATGGAACACTTGAGGAGCAATGCACAACTGCGTCTATGTCCATAGTTCTTGCCCAAATGCCCGTGATCTATTCTTCAAACAAGTTATCACTTGACTTTTGGATTTCTTCATGTTTTTCATCGCTTATTTCATTCCCCTGAAGAGCATCATCTCAGTAGAAACAATTTCCATTTCCGCTGATAACGACTTCTCTCCTTTGTGGAAATATATTTTTTAAGACGCCGTAATTTTTTTTTCATCAAAAACGTTAATATAAATACAAGCTTTACGCACATACATACCACTATAAGACTTTACTGAGTTATTTCCTAGCGATTTCTGGCTAATTTTATAAAACTTTGACACCATTATGCGATGACGATATCACCATAAACCTCACACAAGGAGCCGAGGGGAGTTTATCGGTATAGTTTGTAACATATTTCGTGGTTATTCAAACAAAACCTCTCCCTTCCCTCGTATCAACATCATCTTTATCCATTTACGATAAAACAGTGGCTAAAGAGCGTTGATTTATCTTAAAATTGTTTTTTTTTTGGACGTCGGAGTCGATGTACTTTGGACTCGACCTGCAGGCATATTTGACACATTTCCGACAATTTGCTGGCACAGAGCGTTCCAACTCACAAACAGCAAATGGACGAGTGTTACTGTGTATTTCATGGTTCAGCAGTACGTGTAACGATCTTCGGGAGCCAAACAGATAATTCTCTGGTCGACCGTCCTCCGTTTCTCAAAATTTACGTTATCCGTTTCACGCGCTACTTAGTGCCTTGAAGGAAAATAAAATCCCTATACTTCACTACAGAGCGTCTTAATGTAAACGATACATACCTGGATGTGTAACGGCGAAGAGAACCAATCGTTTTGTTTACAACTGACTCTACAACCTCTTTGTCAGCAACACGGTTAGGCCATCCCATTACGATTCCGCTGTCCCCCATACCAGTATCATCTGGCGGGTAAACATTGGATAAATAAAGCAGTTTTAAACTTTCATACTGACTGATCACGCTCGCATTCCACACCAAGTTCCAAACAGCACTAGATTTGTACTCACAAAGAGGTAAATAATTGGCCTTTGGAACTAACGATAATGAATAAAACTTGAGCGTCCTACGGCTTGCCATGTTTACTTTCATTTCGAATTGACTTTGGTATTTGTTTGAAAACGCCATGTGATAGGCATCCTTTTTCGCCAAAACTACTGAAGTGTTTGAGTACTTACGAAAATGCTCAAAAGAGATAAGTCGAAATTCTGCTTCTGAAGGCGTGCTCCAAAAAACTTGGGCAAATCCGTCACCAACACCTTGTTTATGGATGACTTCAATGTAGTATCGATTCCCTCGTTGAAGGCTCACGAATTGAGACATTTGCGTGGGGTATTTATTCAGTTCATCCTTCTTTGTCCAGCCACAACACGCTTTCTCGTCAAATACCCGAGAAATTAAGCGTTTCCCTTTGGGATCTTCGCTTTCACTAAGCCACAATTCCGACGAATCGTCGGAGGCAATCGCAAAACGATAAGGTCCACTTGTTGGTGGTTGTAGAAAGCCGAATATACGCTGTCCATAGTATTCTGTGTTATCGGAAACTTCAAATACATCGTTTAAAAACTCCTTTTGATCGGGGTAATATGGAAATGTTGGTGTTTGTTTCATGTCTTGAACGTTCACACCGCACAATTCACGCCAAACGTACACATTCAGCGAAAGGTTTGCGGTAGATTTCTCATCAGCGAAGGGTTGAACAAGGTTTGTCATGACATTCTCGATGACAACGCTCGCGTTTCTATTACGTTCAGAATACTTGATGAAGAGAAATGAGATTGAACAAGCTGCTACCACAAAAATTAAAAGCTTACCAGCTCGCTGATGTCTCCGCAATCGAAGTAAACTTCGAAAACCCATTCCAATCGGCACGTTTCCCTGGCACACATAAAACGTTTCGTAATTTGAACTGACATGTACTTTCACATCGTCATAACATTCAAGACAGACAATGCACAGCGTGTCTTCACGAAGAAATCTGTCGCAAACCTCCACCAATCAACATTACTCGAAACGATGACTCGATTCAATGACGTGACAAAACCGAGTCGATGGTACGCTGCAATTTTGGAAACCGCCGGTTGTTACGTTTGCAAGAGGAATTTTGGAATACCCACAGTCGCTTGAAGTACTGGAGAAATATTGTCGCAACAGCTAGGTTTGGATGACTGACTTCCTTTTTTTTGTAAATTTTTTTGATTTATTGCTCAGGGAATGGCCTCCGGAAATTTAGAGCAGACATTCGCTGTTCCTGCTAACCTTGTGGCGCGTTGAACGTTCCCAATCGAATCACGGTAGGCTCAATTTATTAAAGCGAGTTAGCAATTACTTTCCACCAATCAGGTGGAATCTTATTAACTATCTAACAAATGACTGTCAGCGGAAATGTAACTCACTTGCTGTTTTTGGATCCACAAAAATAATCCCTTTCATCAAGATCACAGAAATTTTCCTTAGAAGGCAATAATTAGGTTTACTTTCCTTTAAAATTTGGATTTTCAAAACATTTAGCAACACAAGAATAGCAATAGCTGCTCCTGTGATATGTAAAACCATATTGACTTTTTCGCCCGTGAAAACCCCTCTATAGGTCTCAATTACCATAACTAGAGTTGTGGTCACGAAAACGTGCATCGATTTGTTTGTAAAATGTCACACAGCTGTGACGGTTTATGTCCACGTTTTTACGGCTTACCTAAAATTCATAAACCGGGGATTCCACTGAGACCTATCGTCTCTTTCGTTAATTCCCCGACTTATGCAATTTCTAGCTATCTTTTCGCCTGTCGGTAAAGTTTCCTCACAGCTCTATACTATTGTAAAACAAATCTGTTTTCCCAATGGCAATGTATTGCTTTTGTCATTGTTTTCTCTGTTCAAGAACTGAATGTATAATGTAGGATAGGGCTGTACGGAAATTTTACCGAAATCCCAGTTGATATTGCCGTTAAAGTTGCGGAGGAGAGACTCAAAAGAGACGCTTCTCTCTGCGGACAAAGAACTTCTTTGCCTGCTGTCTTTTTCCTCTAGACCACGTAATTTGCATACAACGGCACCAACCATCGACAGGTTTTTGGTACAGCTATGGGTCCGCCTGTCTGTTGTCATTGTCAAGATGGTAATGAAGACGAGGAGCAAAGTGCTTTAACCACTTCGCCGGTTTACCCTTTGTTCTGGAAAGAATAGGTCGATGATGTCATTGCAGCGGTATCCGGAAATGAAGCGGAACGCCTCCTATCTCATTTGAGAAGCCAGTAATCGGATCCTTTTTTTAACCTTAGAAAGAAATATTTGGCGAAAGGTTGTTTCGACGTCCAAAATAACGATTTTGGAGAGAGATCAACGATTTTTCGTCGCTTTTTTATCACAAATAAATTTAGATACTGTTGATACAAAGGCAGAGTAAGTTTTTGTTTAAACAACCATGAAATAAGTAATAAAATCTACCGAATAACCTTTCTCCATGCGCAAGGTTTTTTGTGAAATTGACATCGTGTGGTCTCGAAATTTAAAAACATGAGCCATAAATCGCCAACAAATAACTCAATAAAGCCTTTTAAGTTTTTTTTACGTGTGTTTTGTCTACTTCTAGCTTTTTTCTTGGCTTGGTAATACAGAAAGATAACAACAGCTACCTCGAGGCAGCAGGTGATCGAAATGGTGTGCTTGAACATTAAATATTAATGAATTAAACCAGAGTAGCATGAAACCATGTCTGAAAGCTGTTCTATTAACACTGTATGTTTAATATTCCAATTATTATTTATTTCTTAACTCATAATTGCAATTTCAGTAAAAAGAAAACAGCTAGGAGCTGTCGAAACTCTGGCTTTAATCAGGTAATTGCTATGGGGAAATATTTTTAGGATCTCGAGAAATGAATATGTAGAACTGTATGGCGATTACAGATAGAGCATCGAACGATAAATATTTTCATCATATTGCGTTGTTAAAATCGCAGGAGAATCAAATAAAATGTTATTTCGTCGAAGTGTGACAGGTTTTTGCCTTTCTGAGTCGTTCAAAAACGTCTTCTTCTTGAATCACTCTCGACCGTTGGAGTCATGCGATCTTGTTCGACGCTTGTTTTCTAAAGAAAAGCGGCTGCTAAGGCGCTAATAAAGACACGATGGGGCTTGATCAAGTAGCAGGAACAACAATACGGACGCCATGTTGCTGGTTGCATATGTGGCTCTCATCTATTTTTCTTGTTTTTTTATTTGTGTTAGTTATTAAATCACTTTTGTTTAATAATTATGTTCGCATTTTGTGCTATAATGTTTGTGCCGTGTCAAATAGCATGGGATAAGAGGAAGCAGCAGATGTCTTAGGCCTAGTTCAAACGTCGATCTTTACATGTACCGAACCTAACGTTTCTATTAAGTACATGTAAAGATCGACGTTTGAATCAATTAGGATCGGCAGATTTGTATAGACGTTTGAATCAACTGCCGCTCTTAATTATTCGAGTCGACCCAAATTGCAATTAGGTTCGGTACATGTAAAGATCGACGTTTGAACTAGGCCTTACTCAAATTATGTATGCGGCACCACGTGTACAAGAAAACAACTGATCACAGCCGAACATCATGCTTTATAGGATCACGCATGACCAGTCGACCTCATCGCCTGAAGAAGACTTGCAGTATACAGTCGAAACGTCGCAATCTACATCAAACGTGACTACATCGTGAGACAAACAAAAAAAACTTAGCTTTTAAAGAAAATGATGTTTCAAAGGAAATAGGATATTAGGCGTGCAAATTCTTTAAATTTAATGCAAATTTGTGGGTGTGAGATAAGGGTCTAATAAAAAAACCTCCAAACAATATCCTCAGGTGTTTGCCTTTCTTATTCCGCTCGGTGTTTCACTTCAGTATTAACCCGAGGTAAATTTGTGGCTATCATGTTCAACTTAACCTATGTCGGGCTTCTTGTTAGCTGACAAGGGATGCTTAAAAAAATTTAGTTTTGCTGTGACCTCTTTTTATTCTCTGTCTGGTTCATTCAAATTTCCAATTGCGATCGAAGCAATGATTGCTGTGTGTTTTTTGAGGTTAAACTGCACAATACCCTGCCACTTATTTACATGTCATTGAATAGGAAGAGCGTCTATTGTGTCATGCCTCGTTCTTGAAAGCCTCACGACACGTGTAAATGAGGTGGACCAAAGTGGTAGGGTATTCCGCAGTTACTCCCTTTTTGAGGCTATTATTCGAAGAAACGTTCGAGGGCGGCTTTTATTAATACATCTGGTCTAAAATGTGGCGTTTATTCGAGGGCGGCATTTAATCGAATTAATACGGTAGTTCTTTTAGGGGCGGTACTTTGGGTAGCCCTTTCTTCTCCAAATTCTCTGATTTTTCTGTTGTTATGTAACAGTTTTTAAAGGCTATTTTCTGTAGATCTCTTTTTAGATTCTAATTCCGTCAGTTTGTTCCCTATAAAAATCACATTATCAATCTTGCTTTTTTTTGCCCGATCTTATCGCAAGAGTATAAAATTTTCTAGGTAGAAAGTCGTTTTGAAAAGAGTCAACATCTCAAAGGTACATACCAGTAGCGGATCCAGACCTTAAGCTAAAGGAGGGGGGGGGGGGG